CAGGCCCGGGCCCGCGGCTCCCGCAGCCCCGCTCGGCCCGGCCCGCGAGCCCCCGGCCGCACCTTGATGGGCTTGCTGTCGGGGAGCAGGCTGCGGCCGTGCATCTCCTCCATGGCCCGGCAGGCCTGCGAGCTGCGGGCGAACTTGATGAAGGCGATGCCGCGGGACTCGTTGGTGCGCCTGTCCCGCAGGAGCCAGATGTTCTGGATGTCCCCGAAGGGCGAGAAGCGCTCCCGGATCAGCGCCTCGCCGGTGTCCTTGCCCAGCACCACGAAGACGCGGCTGTTGGGCGGCTCGTCCAGGCACTCGGCCGACGGGCGGACGCCGCTGCTCTCCTCCATGGCGGGGCCGCCGAGCGCCGCAGCCTTCGACTGAGGCACAGAAGGGAAGTGCAGCAGCGCCTTTTCCGCCGCGGGCCCAGCGCGCCCGCCCCTTCCGCCGCACCGCTTCCGCCGCACCGCACCGCACCGCACCGCGCCCTGTACGCACCGCACTGCCTTAGACGCACTGCACCGCGCACCGCACCGCGCCCTGCACGCACCGCACTGCCTTAGACGCACTGCACCGCGCCCCGCACCGCGCCCTGCACACCGCACCGCACTGCCTTACACGCACCGCGCACCGCACCGCGCCCTGCACGCACCGCCTTGCACACTGCACCGCACCGCGCACCGCACGCACCGCCTTGCACACTTCACCGCACCGCCTTGCACGCACCGCACCGCGCCCTGCGCACCGCACCGCGCGCACCTCACCATTCCGCGCGCACCGCCCCGCACCGCGCGGCTCCGCGGTGCCTGCGAGGCCGGAGGGCGGGCGGCGCGCGTTCCGCCTGCTGTTTTTCACAAGCAAATTAAACATGCAGAAATCCCCCTTCTTTTCACATAAGCAGACGCAAGTAGAAGGACGTGATAACATTTGGTACTTTTTCCGTAGATCTAAACGGGCTGTGTTGAGAAATTAACATGTTCTCTATTCAGGAATATTATCAGTGCCACACTGTTGGAAAAGATAGAAGGCACAAGACAAGACCAAATCTTTGGAGTTTATTTAGCTGTACAACAGGAAAAGCTGCAGGATTTTCTCACTCAGATCCAAACAAAAACAAAGGCAAAACTAAGATGTGACATAAGTAGGGTGAAGTGTTGGAGGAGACGTACATAAATTTAAAAAGCTTTTTCTTTAGAGGTATGATAGCCTTACAAGGATTTACTATCACAGCTGTCGACTTTGCTGTACTACAGATGAATTTGAACTACAGTTCCACAGAAACAAAAACCCTCATTCCCTGTATTAAGATACTTGCACAATTTCCAATACTCAGTACACCAGGTCAGAAGGTTTATTGCTTTCCCAGAACACATTAGTGCCAATGGCAGATTTTAATTTCTGATTCTGGAGAGCTTTTAGATTTTGTTTGCTGGTCAGTACCCCCTGCTGGCATCGTGGTGTGCTGCAGTTGTTTTGCTTGACTAAATAACATTCCTTACTAGTACATTATGACTGTTGTTTTTTCTTGTGCTTTTCACAGAGAAAGTCTTTAAAAGCAGTGAAACATATTTTAAAAAAACTCCATTCTGTGTGGGTTTTATTGTTGGTTTTTTTAATGTTACTTGAATATAAATTATATTAATTGAATCAAGCTATTAATCATATACACAGTCCTGTGGTTAGGGGTTTTTTTCCTGGTTACTAAAGTCCTTTAGAATTGTGTTGCTTTTTTCCCCCCCTATGATTTCTAGGAAACGTTTTGTGACATTCACTTTATACTGGAATTTCCTTCAATACGTCATCTGCATATCGTAATTATTTTTTCCCAGTAAAATTGTAGTGAGCAAATCATACAGATGTTAGTACAAGTTTTGAAAAGAAAGCAAACAAACTGATATCTAAATTCACTTTAGACAATGGGAAGAATCAGGTCTGGAGGACAGAAAAGAAATGTGAACTTGTCATTACAGGTATTGCAGTAGTCTTCAGTACAAGTGCAGTCTTCTGTTGAAAAAGACAGGTTTTAGCAGGTTTGGAAGGAAACAATAATGGCTTTTCAACTTCTGTCAAGAGATTCCAGGAACTGGCTATTGACAACCTTTTTTCTAATGCCCTTCAATGGAACATAGCCTTGTGGAATTCAATGTCAATCTCATGTTAATTAAAAAAAAAAAAAAACAACTGTACAAAATTTCATTTGTATATTCTGGATATTGGAATTGCAAAGACATTTGCATAGTTTAGAAGCAGTAAGTAGTTGTATATGAAATGATACAAAGAACTGCAAGTCTCCATGATGCAAATAGGATTTATATTTTATTTATTAAAGTGACACAAAGACAAAGTATACCTTGTGCATTTTATATTACACATCATTTATGCTCCCATCCTCCTGCATTCTACTGGACTGCTTCCCCCTTTCAGACTGTTAAAGAGTAATAAAGCGTCTCCCCAAATGACAAAATTTTCTCAAGTGGTTTTCCCAATTGCATTTTGAGGAGTGCTATTCCATTGCCTTCCACAGAGAAACACACTGCACCTGAGAAATGCATTGACATTTCTCCTTGTGATTCTTTTAGGGCGTCTTAGGGCATTTCTGCATGTTGTACCCAAGGAAACCAGGTGGAACTGGCTAAAGCCTGCACTGCTGTCTGAGTTGGCATTGTGCATCCCTGCTGACAAAAAAGATGCATCCGATGTAAGATGCTCGTACCTCACTGCAGCATACCTGTAAAATTATAATAGCGGCACAATCCCATGGCATTGATAAAATCCATTTTCCTATTTTCGCCCTCCCACAAAAGGCTGAAACTAATCCACCTCAAGCCAACACAGGGCTGCAGCCCAGTGTACAATGTGCTTCTTTAACTCACCCTGCAGACAGAACAGAGACCCCAGTTTTCTCCTAACATCTATCAATGTACACCAGACCAGGCTTCTGAAGGTTTTATCCAGGTTTTTACAGCATGTCCAAAGCCTGTGCAAGTTACAGAACAGTCAAACCTGTGTGATCATCTTTGTCACATTTCATCTCTATATGGATTTCAGGTTCCACAGTTCTTTACAATTAAACTGTTACAGTAAATTTTTCACTCTGTATTCCATGCAATGGAGACAACTACAGTTTTACTTTCCTCAGTCTTGACTGCTATTTGAGAGATTGTCAATATGCAGATTTCTGATGCAGGCAAATCCTATGCGTAGAATCCCAGTAAAAGAAACTAAAATGCTGCAAGACTTGGAAGGACCTAGTTTATACCCAGGCTTACAGAAACACTAAGTTGCCTTAAGTGTTTACATACAGAACTGCTACATAGTAGCCATTTTGTAGTAAACACTGGTGTGCGTGCTCAAACCAAACCTCACCACGTTAAGATGGTAAAAATTATTTGCATTATTTTCGCACCCAAGGTCCTCTCCTGAGAGCTGGGGGTACGCGCCGGGCTGGCCTCCAGCCGCTCAGGCGATTTCTTTGTGCAAGCGGAGTGTTTGTGCCAGCGCTAACACTCGCTAACACTGCAGCCGGGGCTGGGGGCAGCCCGGGGGGCTGGGGGCAGCCCCGGGGGCTCGGGGACTCCGGGAGCGCTGCGGCTGAGCCCGAGGGGCCGCGCCCGCCCGCGGAACCCCCGCGCGTCACAGCCCCGGCAGCGCGCTCGGGAACGCGCACAGAGCCTTGCCCTCGCCCAGACGCGCTGCCTCGTCATACCCAAGCTACCTGCATGGAAAGAGCTCGGCTCCTTCGGAAGCGCGAGCAGCTCGGGGACGAATCCCTAGAGCGTGTCCTCCGACCTGCCCGCTTTCTGCCCCCCGCCCCGCAGCCCGCTCGCCGCGGCTTCTGCAGCCGGGCGCTCTCCGCAAGCCGGGCGGGGCACGGAGCGGCGGCCGGGAGCGGTCTTTCCCCGCACCGCCCAGGGTCGGGCTGGCCCCCGGCTCCCTCCTCCGCCCCCGAGCCCCGGGGCTGCGCCCCCCGCCCCGGCTGCCCGCGCGCCTGCGCGCCGTCCCCGCTGCCCTGCTGCCGGTGTGTGCCGGCGGCGGCGGGGCTGCTCAATGGAGAGAGCCCGTCCTCCTGCCGCAGCATCCCTGCGCGGCGGCGAGAGTCCGAGAGCTGCATGAAACCCCGCCGAGAGCGGGGGGCAAGCACGGCGCCCTGCCGCCACAGCGGCCCGGGACCCGCGGCGGCCAGAGAACCGCTGCTCAGCCTGCGAGGGCGCGGGCACCGAGACTGGGAGCAGAAATCCTTTGTCTGTAGCTTCCTAAGCTGCCTCCGAGCTGCTCAAGCCGAAGCATCTACACGGAGCCCCTGAGGGTCACCCCTACTGCCGCGGGACACACACACAGCCCTTCCTCCCCTCCTGACACCCCCGCACCAGCCTGCGCTATCGACACGTGTCCCAAAAGTACTCCCTCTCCTTGCCAGCACTGCCCGCACCCCGCGCCGTAAGGGGCAGCTGCAGGGACAGGGTCCCCGGCAGGTGGGAATCTCGTTTGGTTGAAGATTTGCCCGTGTGTTTTCCCAGCCACCCGAACTCCCATTCATGAATTTCTGAAACCGCCTTCATTCAGTCTTTGGTGAGCGCATGAAAAACATTTTCACGTGTAAAGATCCATGACTTGTTTTTTCAATCGCTTATGCGTAGGCATTGATTTAGCAATGAAAAGTGGTCCACGTGCGCATAAAAATAACCCTTGCCCGTCTGCCGGCGGTGGATACGGTCGGTTTCCGTCTGGCAGCCGGTGATGCCCGAGCGGTCACCCAGGAGCGCCTGGGCGCGCCCGCTCCCGCCGAGCCGCCCGGGGAGCAGTGGCTTGCGGCAGGCAGCCCCGGGCGGCTCCGGGCGGGCAGAGCCCGCTGTGCCCCTCGCAGCCCGCGGGGCAGAGTCGGGGCTCCGCACGGGTGAGGCTATCCGCAAACCAACTCAGCGATTCAAGAAACGGAATTCACTCAGGATTCTTGGAAGGGCTCCGTTTTTCTGCTTGTCACCTGAAGTACTGAAGCAGCTCAGACAATGGTATAAATGAGAGCTCTTTCACGGGAGCGCTCCCATTACCTCCCGCTGCCTCTCCCGCGGACCGCGGGCTGGAGCCGCGGCGGGGTTCGTCCCCTCCCCGAACGAGCATCACAGACAAAAGGCCCCTCCCTTTCCCCCCGATGTTGTTGAATGAAAGTCCCTAGCACAGCTCCCCACGGCCGGGGGTCCTCCCGCCCCTGCCGAGGCGGCTGCTGCCAGGCGGGCGGCAGTGCCCCCCCAGCCGCAGCGGGGTTTGCCAGCGCTCCCGCCAGCCCTCCCTCCTCCCCGCCTGCCCCCCCGCTCGGCTCACGCGTCCTCCCCTCCCTCCTTCTCAGTGGTCTGCCGGCTGGCTTACGCAGGAGCCGCCGCCAGCACTGACAGCACTTGGCAGAAGGGGTTTGCCCGAGCGCTCCCGGAGCATCTCCAGAGGCGCGGCGGCACCGCCTGCCCGACTCACCGGGGGAGCGGCCCAGAACCGGGAACCGAGGTCAGAGCTGGCGAAAGGCTGAAAACAGGGAACCACGGAAAATATCTAGAAAAATACCAATACTACTGCTACTAATAATAAAGAGTGGTGGGGGGAAAGGAAGTCGCGGGGGAAAGCAGAAGGCGAGAAGAAGGCGCGCCGCTGAGGAGGAGCCCGGCCCGGGGGCAGAAGGGCCGGCATCCCCCGTGCCCGGGGCGGCCGTCGGGGCGGCGGCAGCAGCACGTGGCGGCGGGGCATGGCCAGCGCGGGCGCTCCCGCGGCCTGAGCCGCCCCCGCCGCCGGCACCATGGCAGCCGCCGGCGATGCCGGCCTCGACGTGGCGGCGGTGGAAAGTTTCCTAGAGAGGCACCCGGAGCTGGTGGAGAAGTGGCTGCAGAGGAAGAACTCGCTGCCTAAAGCGCCTGCCGTGCCCGCTGGCGGCCCGTCGGAGGAGCGGCGGAGCAGCGACGGCCCCGGCGGCAGCTGGGGGAGCGCGGGCGGCCCCGGCGGCCCCGGCCCCGGGGGGCTGCAGCGCCGAGCGTCCCAGAAGGAGCTGCGGAAGAGCTTCGCCCGCTCCAAAGCTATCCACGTCAACCTCACCTACGACGAGCATGTGCACGCCCGGGCGCAGGAGCCGCTGAGCAGCGTGCGGCGGCGGGCGCTGCTGCGGAAGGCCAGCTCCTTGCCCCCCACCACCGCCCACATCCTCAGCGCCCTGCTGGAGTCCCGCGTCAGCCTGCCCCAGTACCCCCCCACCGCCCTGGACTACAAGCGCTACCTCAAGGAGCACAACGAGCGCCAGTTCTTCCTGGAACTGGTCAAGGACATCTCCAATGACCTGGACCTCACCAGCCTCAGCTACAAGATCCTCATCTTCGTCTGCCTCATGGTGGACGCGGACCGGGGATCCCTCTTCCTCGTGGAGGGGACCTCCGCCGGCAAGAAGACCCTGGTGTCCAAGTTCTTCGACGTGCACGCCGGCACGCCGCTGCTGCCCTGCGGCTCCACCGAGGACAGCAACGAGGTGCAGGTGCCCTGGGGCAAGGGCATCATCGGCTACGTGGCGGAGCACGGAGAGACCGTCAACATTCCCGACGCCTACCAGGTAGGAGCCGGGCAGGCTCCCCCGGCCCGCGGCGGCGGAGGCACGGAGCGAGCAGCCCCGATGGGCTGGCCCTGCCTCCCCCGGCCTGTCCCGAGCAGCCCCGATGGGCTGGCCCTGCCTCCCCCGGGCTGTCCCGAGCAGCCCCGATGCGCTGGCCCTGCCTCCCCCGGGCTATCCCGAGCAGCCCCGATGCGCTGGCCCTGCCTCCCCCGGGCTGTCCCTCCCGCCGCCGCCTCGCCCGGGGCGGCCCGGCCGGGAATGGCGAGGGGCGAGTGCCGGGGGACGCCGGGGAAAGAGGCAGGGGAAGCCCGATGGGGCTAAATGGTCCTACAGTGGCACAGAAGCGGTCTGGATTTCGCAGGAGCGCTTCATGTGTTTCTAAAGCATGTTTTGGAACAAGCTGAAGAAAAGTTTAAAAAAATGCTCGTGACAGTCCGAATGATGGTGATCTTAAATTTCTATCTCAATGTTCCCTGGCTCTCCACTGCTGAAAAAATCTCATTGCTTTTAAAAGAGCGTATATTTTCACCTTTGCATATGCCCACTCAGCCCACATGGTATGTGTTTTCAGACGCACTCCTAGTAGTGATACAGCCAGGGTCCTGTTATTCTCCAGCAAAGACTTTCCCCACCTTTTACTTCTTCAGAGTCTTCAGTGTGAATTGTGAAAATTTACTTCTGGTTTCAAGGCAGACATTGACCCCTGGCTTCAGCAGGGACAGAGGAGCTTTTGCCCGAATGTTTCGATGTAGAGCAGAGCTTTCAGTTTCCTGGCTTGAAATTTACCTCTCTTTCGGGCGGTCTGTTTCTAGTGTTTATTTGTGTAAGGTACTATCAGCAATTGAAGGTTGTTGAGGAAATGAAGAACCACAAAGTAACACGTTTTCTCAGTTAGGATCTTGGTAAGCTTGAGAAAGGTGGGAGATGTATGTCTTGAAGAATTCTAGTAGTAAACATTCTTCAGTGTCATATTTTAATCTACAATAATAACAAAAAACAATAAACATTAAAAAACTGATGATGCTTTGCAGCAGACTACAAGGAAGAAACTTGAAAAATAAGATTTGGTTATTTTTGGTTTTTAAATACAGAATAAGATCCAGGGTATATGTAGGGCTGAATATTTATTTATTTATTTGTCAAGCAGTATTTGAAAAATACTAGGAACCTCACAGATCCAGACTGACAGAGTTTCCCAACCCACAGATTTCAAAGGGAATGGTAAAAATGCTCAGACTAAAATGAGTATTGGATCACCTTTGAAAAAAAATTCAACTGGCTTTCTTCCTTTATTTTTTCCCCTTTTCTGCATTATACACTTTTTCTTGCAATCTGGTTTTGTTGCTTTCACTTGTAGAACTGCACAATTTCCAGAATATCTGCTGTTCTAGGTGAAGCAGTATGTTCTCAATAGTCCCAACTTGCTAAGCAGATAAAAGATATCTGAGTTTGGCTAGGAAGAAACTTGATCCCTCCTTCTAAACTTGGATAGCTCCAGACACCCTTTTTTTGGAGGTGAGAATGCCACTGGAAGGGCATTGTTTTCTAGTCCTAGGGACGTATATTGTTTTATTTTTAATTTTTTTTCTTCAGTGTTTGTTCACTTTGTGTTCAGTTCCCTGTGAAAAAGCCCAGCTTCTTTGAACAGCTTATTTTCTGTTTCATCCACAGAGAGAAGTGAAAAGCAATCCATCCAGTTGCCATTCCCAGTGCTATTTATGTTATACTTTTGTCTGGCTCTTATTCAAAATCAATTTAAATATTATAAATAGTACAGTTCATTGTATCTTTAAGCCCTAAGTACATTAGTTGCAGTAGATGGGCAAGTTCTAGTCCAAGTCCATCCTGTAATTACATCAAATGCAGCTTCCCTACTTTCATTGGAGCTACTTTGATTTACTTTAGTGCAAATGAAACTTAAGACCTTCCAACTGTAATGAAAGTTTTGCTGGATAATAAAACATGGGCCTGCTTTCAGTTATGTTTGAGAGTGAGTACAGTATATCTTCTCCTGCTTGGCAAGGATATATACCCATGGTGGATCACCAAAAGGAGACATTTCTAACTGGATGCTATAGAGAGCTCTGCGGAAGCCCAGGTACCTGTGCGTGAAGAGGTGACAGCTGCTCCATTTCAGATCATTGTAGTGCTCACAATGGAGCACTTTAAAAATTAATAAAGATGATAATATTGTTTTTTGCCATTGATGATGAAAGTGTTTAATCAACTGTCACATAATAAAACAGCACTACCACGAAACTCTGTCAGGTGGACAGAAGGGGTGACAAAAGGGGTGACAGAAGAGCACTATTTTTTTGTCCATTGAAGAGGGTTTCTACACTGATGCTTTTTGGCAAGAAAAAGCCCTACACAAGGTCAGAGGAACTTTTAGATTAAGTTAAACTTCTTTTGCTTGGTTTTTTAAATTAACAAACTTATTTAAAATAGGTAAACATACTTCCATATCATCAATTAGTTAGTTTACTGTACTGGGAAATTTATTATTATTCAACCATCTCTATTTTCTCAGAGCCTGATCAAATACCATTTGGAATTCTACCACTGAGTACAAATTGGGTTGCCTGCTTGTACTGTCAGCTGTGACTGACATTAATGGTACTTCAGTGCAATCAACATTACAATTTAATGCTGTCATGTCTTGCAATGTGTTCCATGCAGGCGGTCCCCTGTGCCCATCAGACTGATTGTTTCAGGAAGTATTTGTAAATGACTGGTTGTGTTATTATCAGAGACAGCATACTATTTCAATTATGCATTTATTCTTCTAAAAAGAAAAAATACCAAAAAAAATTAGATCGGGCTTTTCACAATCTGGGTGATTGTTACTGTTGTTGAGTGGGACTTTCAAAATCTGCTCATGTGAACAATATTTCTTAATTCAATAAACATACATAGATACAAGATTTGGAATTAATATCACATATTGAGGACTGTATAATAATCACTTCTTTTGATACTAAACAGTGACCATATGAGATCTCACAGTAGTTTAATTTATGGAGTTCAGCTTTGACTGAATAAATTATTGGAGGCTCACAGCAGTAGAAAATTCAACAAATAATTTATGGAAATGTTTAGATGAATGTCTCATAACTGATTCAAAAGTTACACAATTTCATTTGTGGCATTAAAAGCTTTATTTATTGCATTGGAGAGTCATTTGATGAAAGTGAGTTTATAATTTTAGCTGCAACATGCATGATCTGATATGCAAGTGTTAGCAGTACAGAGAATTTGAGAAAAGGAAAGCAATTAGATACTTTCTTTCATTTTCATTTTGAAGCCAGTCTAAAACTGTTTCTCCTGAAATTAATCCAGTTGAATTGTAAATCAAACTTTCAGTCACTTTAAGTTCTAAAATAAGGCCTTGGACGCTCCCATATGTAAATTTGGGGAAGTGTTTCTGACTCCTTTTTCATATGGGAATAATGAACTATATCTTGAGCACACATGTTGGAAGAAGAATCAGATCTTACTGGCAAGGAAATCTGGGGCCTAAATGTCCATTTAGGCTCTTTTTGACAGAGAATAGGTGTAGTTTCCATCATCATATTAAGCTCATTTTAAGTACACAGACAGAGACCATTACCTGTAGTTCCTAAAAGCTGTTTCCAAATGTAATGTTTTTGTCCAATTTGAAGCTGTGGATTTTTTCATGTCATCCATTCTTCTCACAGGACATCCATGGTGTTTAGCTGAAATTACTGATAATTTAAATTTTGTTCCATCTCTTAGAGCAGTATCTAAATAATAAACATTTTAAATTACAAGTAATGTTTGGTTATTGTTATACTATTAGCTGTGCAAAAATTAGGAAACAATTTAATAGCATCCCAAATCCTTCCAACTAGTAGAAAAAATATTATCCTCTAGAATAGTAAGCATATATCAGAAAGTAGTGAAATATATGTTCTGCCATTTTCCAGTGTCAGCAGAATAAAGTTTCTGCACATCTTATGTTAACTTTGTAATTTTAAAAGTAGCTTTAAAAGACAGAAGACAAAAATGGCTTACCAGATGGATGTTTTAATAAAGCATGTAGCATAGAGGAGAAATATTAAAGGGAGTCACGCTAAGACATGAGTTTTATAAGTTAGAGAAAGTGCTGTAAAATATGACTAATTATTTTTCAATATAGCTCAAGTCCTCCAAAAGAAAATATAACCACATTACTGCAACTGAAATCAAGGAAAGTAAAACACAAATCAAGCTCTCTTTGTTCGGGACTTTCCTGTTACCTCTTTCAAGCTTAGGCCAAGTGTAGCACAGTTAATGCACACACAGCCCTTCACTGCAGGTTTCAAACATCCTTCAATACCTGGGTACAGGTGTGGGCGTTGTCTTTTTCAAGCGTTCCAGAGCATTCAGAGTCTCCTGCTGCGCCACGACAGCATCACAGAGATGCTGTTCAGGGATGCAAACCTTTGTGCCCCATGTGGGGCTGCCTGTGGGTGCAGAAGGACAAGAAGAGGCATGAGGTAGCTGTTTGTCATCAGCAGCATTAACAGCAGATCTCTCTCAGTTTCAAAGAGCAGTGAAAGCACTAAAACCCTGGGGCCTGGGAGGTTCAGCTCTGCAAGTGGGAAGCACTTTGTTCTACTCAGCAGCATTGGACAGTGGCACCAACAGCTCAACGAATTTCAGTGTTGACTCTTAACAAGGAGAGAAGTTGCTCTTAAGAGAGCAAAGATCATAAGACCTGGCAAGCAGAATACACAGTGGTTTTAAAAATTTCCTTGTAATATAGAAAAAAAGATAAGAAACAGGTTTTCTTTGCTGTTCATTAAATATGACTAGGAGGTACCATGGGGAATGCAGGAAATAACTGCAACAGTAAAGACGAAGATGTGCTTTGCATAAAAGGACACTCCAGCCCATCATGCAAAATTTAGGAAAACTTGAAATTCTAAGTACAAGTCCATAAATTGGTGAAGGGTGTTAAAATTATCCCTGTGTCTGCAGCCCACTGGCTGTGTACATGCCCTTCATCCTTCATGTCACAGTGGTGCTGGCCTGGGAGAGGCCACATCTTTCTCCAGGAGGCAGGTCCTGGGAAGGAAAGGCAGAGAGCCCTCAGGGCAGTAGCTGAGGATATCTTCACCTCCTGTCACCTCCCTCACTCCGTAAGTCTTCTTCTCCAGGAGCAGTTTCTGACTGATGCATTCGACATCCTAAGACCTTCCCAGGTCCACCACGACTCTCTGGAGATCCCACCAGGGGCAGGAGCTCCTGGCTGACACCAGGGTGACGTAGAGGGACACTCATCCAAAGCGAAGGCTCAGTTGTTTCGTGTCCCCAGGATCCCCAGGACAAACAGGACTGTGCAGTGTACACTGCTGGTGGCAGCCCTCAGGCATGCTGAGGAGTCACACCTTCCCTCCAACTTGTGTGAGCAGGTGAGGCTGCCTCCCCCAGCAGGCAGGCGGTGGCCTGGCCCCCAGGGTTGCTGTCATTATTCCGTGGATCCTCTCCTGCTTCTTGCTGCCCCAGGTGTGCTCTCCGTGGATCTGATGCTGAGATATTTGGGATGAGCAGTAGTGGGGCTTCTTTGTCACAAGTCCCTGCACCAGTGCCCAGCTCTCCCTCCTGCAGCGGGTCCCTGGGCTGCTGGCCTTGCAGAGCTTTGGCAGGAAAAACATTTTGGAGAGCTGGGGTGGTTTTGCTTTTGGTAAGCTGATAGACATTGGCTGAGTTTATTGCTCAGCCAATCCACCTGAAGAGTGGTGGATGTCTGAAGAGTGCAGATGTTCTCAGATTTTTTTTGCTCAGACATTCTAAAATGACTTTGTAGAACAGATGTGAAACTGGCGACATTCTGTGGCCTATAGTTCCTCATGAGAAAGTAGTAGATGCGTTTGATGAAAGCAGGTCAGTGACAAGGACAAAAACCTGCAGGGTCTGGCCCTTCAGATTTTAGTTGAGGTCCAGTTACAAACACAAGACTGAGTAAAGCTGTAGTTTTGTGTGGTAAATGATTTTGATGTATTCTGCTTCATTTGCTTTCAATTTTTCAAAACAACTGGATATTTCATTTTGTTTATTTACAGTCGTATGCTATTGCATAGCTTTTCTATAGAATAACAAATTTAAGAAGTATACACGCATCGTTATGCATGTTAATTTGTTTTACTTTTCTAAAATAACCCTATTGGCAAACTATAAAAAATAAATTAAAGTAATGGCTCAGGAGTTATGTGCTAACAGGGCAACAGCAACTTTGTGCAGGCTGAGCTTCATGTCTCTAGAGTGTGCATCTCAAAATGAGTGCTGCTTTGTCAGAATAAGACTGCTGCTGTAACACTTGAAACTGTGTTGCCCACCCGAGTAATCTCCAGCATGTGCTAGGTTTAAACCTATACACAGTTTTCTCTTGAAACACCCAGGAGTCTTGTTGGTTTCCTTGCTCAGAGGAGTATTAGCTTTCTATAGCCACGTGTGTGGCTTTAGAAAGCTAATATATGTCTTGTATAAAGAATCATTAATATTTAGGAGATCAGCACTAAGCCCTGTCCCAAAGAAATGTTGGAACAAGATGGGAACATGAGTGTGGTTATAGCTGGTGCCCAGTGGGACATCAGTCAGGGCTGGTACAGAAGGGGAGAGAGAACCACCACAGATGTCATCTCTAAATATTGAAAGTTAGAGGAAAAATATTTTTCTTTGTAAACAATTTATTTAATAGTGATACAATCAGACTAGAAATGCACAGAATCTGCTGTACAGAATGCCACAACTTGACTCACTGTCGTGCTATTGGTGATCTGTCTGGAGTTTGTTTTGAAGGAAGAAAACAAAATCCTTATGTGATGGATCTAGCTAATGTCCTACAGAGGAATATTTTCTGACCCCTACTGCTGATCAGTTCAGACTATGAAGCATGAGCTGTAATTATCCTTATTAGCTAGGCACTCATGTTTGCAGACTTGCTCGTGCTTATAAAGTCTTTTCTTCCTGTTTCAGACTATTATATGATTTTTTCACATTAATTTTGTGCAAGTCATAATTAGACAAACGTGTATTGTTACTAATGTCCGTTGTCAAACTAATAACTGAAACAGTGCTCAGAAAGAGAGCTCGTGAGTCGTGTGAGACACTCCCAGCAATCAAACTAAGCAAAGCCTCAAACTCCTGACATATGTGGGGGAAAAATAACACCAAAAAATTTAGTATTGCATTGTTGCACCTTTTCCATTTTTACAAAGTAAGCTACTGTACAAATTCAGACTATAAATGGTCTTAGTTTTAAATCTGGAACTTAAAAATTTTTGAGATCAATGTTCTCTCCTTTTATAAAAATTGTTTTGGGAGTAAAGAAATAAGAGCTGGCTGAGCTGTTTCATGTGTCCTATCTGTTGTAGTAATTTTTTTCCTGTAAGAATTATTGCTGTCACTGTATAAATAGTCACAGTGTAACTGGACTGTGCTTATTTACTTGGGAGAATTAGGTTTGCAATGCTGTTGCCTGGTACTAGTTTGTTCTCCTGCTGCCTTTGTCTCTGGGGATTTAGGGATTTTGGGGGAGATGACAGGAATAGCTGCAGCAGTCCTTACATGGAAGTCTTGTCAGAGATTGCTTTATTAGTTGTGTTTTGCGTGTGAGTTTCTTGTCTACAAGGTTTCCCCTTATCTCCTGCAGTGGTTTATTGCTTGGGTTTTGTTTCCTGTTTATGCACAATGTAATTTGCACCATATGTGATTTTTAGAAAAGTGCATCTAGAACAGACTGCATGGCCTAATTTTTTTTTATTTGTATTTAGCATTTTTAATGTAATGCTTTGAATCTAGAGAACTTGCTGTCTTTTAGATTGCTCTTTTAGCTTTCTTGCTCTTTTTCTTTCTATAAAAGCTTATGTATTATACTTACAGGAAGTGTGATTAGGAAAGTGAATCAAGTTATGAGATCTTCCAATTTAAATTTCTTTATTTTTATAAAGGCTCTTGGAGGATGGCTTTCTATAAATTCACTCAAACTTGTCTATCCCATGCAGTTGGGTACTCCAGTAATACTCAAGTATTAACAATGCTGTCATAATACTTGTATTAGCTATTTTTCATGCAACTTAGCAACTTAATCAGGAACTTAAATACTGCATAATCCAGGAAATTTTGATGCAAATTTGTGTGATTTTTGTTTTTTTTCAATAGAACCCTTTTTAAAAAAAAACCCAAAAGCAAAGCAACAACAAAAATGGTGCTGTAAATGGTAAAATATAATAGGCCAGACCTGTTAATAGAATAGTTTTGTAGTGTTCTCTTCTGTCATCAGGAGATTTGAAATAATAATGTTTTCAAATAATAAAATCAAAAATATCTTTCTCTTTTAGCTGTCAGCTTTGGCTGAGGTACTTGGTGCATTTCACTAGATTAAATGCTTTTCCTCAGATACTGAAGAAAGAGGAAGTGGCTTTGTCATGAAGACTTAATTCCTGGAAATATTATCAAGCAGGTTTCATCCTCCATTATAATGTTTGATTCTTAGCTAACTTGGGTTAGGGTTATACTTCTTTCTTTTGTTCTAAATCATGGTGATAATGCTCACATAAATTTACTGGTTTTGATAAGGTTATAAAAATACATGTTTTCAAGTTCAAAGAGTTATCCTATGTTGAAAAAAACAGAAAAACACAGTGAAACATCTATGTTTGCTAACAATGTATGAACTACCAACTTTAACTGAAAATCAACACCAAAAAGCAGTTGGTGAAACTGCTCAGAAGCCAAAACTTTAGCTGAAAGTTGAGATTCTGATAATGTATGATTCTAGAACCCTAATGGAAAAAAAAAAATCTTTCTGTACCTTAATCTGCTCTTCTACAGAATAAACCCATGAAGATATTTATCTGTTCTCATTCACTGGAAATCTTCAGATATATCCAAAAAACCTGGGACTACATTGTTCCTGAGCAGGTAACTGGATTACCAGCACTTGGATTGATGGCTCAAACTTGCTCTCTTCTGCGTCTTTACTTCATTCACCTTTTGCAGGGCAACATTTACAGTCAATAAATATCTTTAAGGCTAGGATAGGGTTTGTCTTACAGAGTAAGTTTTCCTTGACGGCAGATGTGAAATTCCAGTTAAAAATGCCTCAGCCTTCACATTTTTAATATCTCTGTGTAGAAAACTCATTATATAGATCCAAAGCAGAATTTAGTATTTCTTTAAACAGTCAGTGGAAGACTTCAATTCATGAGTGTTCTTGCATGAAAATACTGTAAGTACAATTACAATTATGGTGAAGTCTCCCTCTCAAAAGCTTTTATTTAGTCTGCCCCTGATTTTTGAATATATATTTTAATGGTAAAATACTGAAAAGCAAGTGCTGCACTGCTGTCATAAACACTGAGACTCCTTACTACCCCGGGTCCTGGTGCAAATGAGGACCCTGTTGTGTTACAGGCTGTTCCAACATGTGGGATAATACAGTTTGCAAACATTTTGAGATATCATCTGACAGAGCTTCTCTCTGATTTACCAGCTTTGTTGTCAGCTGCTAAACAGGCCTCCTTGCTCAAGGTTACTACCCTGTGAGGAGAGGGGGCTGTAAATATTGTCCATTCTTGGCCATCACAGTTCAC